GGTTGTAGCTGTTAAATTCACATTCTGCTCTCTCCCAGGCCTCACTTCTGTCCATTTCAGCAAAACTACAGGACTTACACCAGTTCATTTAGTGACCATTCAAAGTTACATAACTGAAAAAAAGTGACTTATGACTGTTTTTCACACTTACAACCATCACAGCATCCCCACGGGTCACCTTGTCAAATTCAGAGGTTGGCAATCGACTCATATTTATGACTGTTGCAATGTTCTAGAGTCACGTGATTGCCTTTTATAACTTTCTGACAAAGTCATTGGGGAAGCCAGATTCACTTACCAACAGTGTTAATTTACCAACTGTACAACTGTGGCAGGAAAAGTTGTAAAATAGGGCAAACCCCACTTAACAAATATTTCACTTAGCAACAGGAATTCTGAGCCCAATTGTGGTCATAGGTTGAGGACTGCCTATACTTGCCCTTTGCTATTTTAGTTTTTGCACAAATTTGGCTGTTACTTTCTTTCTGCAGATATTATCTAATTTTTTTGCAGGTATTATATACTTGCTAGAACATATACTTCATGGTTACACCCATTTTCCATTTCCTATGCCTGTTACTTTTAAATCTTAGCACAATCAAAATTTCCCTATGTATCCATATATTTTCCTAAATGCCCATTTTTTTCATCTCATCAAAATGGTATATAACTGGTTATTTTTGAGTTTCTCAATCCTCCTGTGCACACTTTCACCAGAGGATTTCAGTCCATTAGTTTCTATCTAATTCTTTTTCCAAAATCTTTGAAATTGGGTCTTTTGAGAGACATGTAAGATGAAGCTCCCAATTTCTTTCTGTAGCAATTTGAATCTCAAGATGATGTGGCTACTTTTTCCTGCTATTTTTAACCTTCCAACCTCTTCTTGTACTTGGTAGCATCAAATATAAATTTTAGCATTTTATATCCCCTCTGCCTTGTATTGAGTGTTGTTTTGTTATATTTTTTCTTAAATCTTAGCAGTCTCATCTGCTAAATGGATATTATTGAAAAAGGCTGTGGTTTAAAATTTTGCAACTTGTATTTTAGGAAAGCTCCATTTCCTTCAAATCCCCATCATGTTTATCATTTGAATTTTTTTTAAAGTTGACTTCACGTATCATAATCATTTTGTGAGTGCTCTGAAAATTCTGACTTCAATAAATGACCCAGAAATGCTGTTATAATTTGCCTACATATTTCATAAGACAAAAGTATTTGTGTAATAACAGTACAATATCATTGGATGCTGACAATATTTTTGAAGACAGAATATATCCCCAAATTTTAGTAAGATCAGAATCTTTTCCAATATCAGTACCTTATTATATAAGTTAGAGCAGCAACTTTTCCCCTAAGTATCAATAGGTTCATGATCAGACTGGCAATTTCATGGTCGATTTTAATTTTAATTTTAGCATATAAAGCTAAAAAAATAAAAATAAATGTCAGTTCCTATTTCAGAGGGTAAATAGAAGGATGTAATTAGCACTGTGCTGAGGAAATTTTAAAAAAATTACTAGTCAATAAATGGTTAAAACCTCAACACACAGCAGAAGATTTTGCAGCATTTTTAAAATATTTATTTTCTAGGAATCTGAAAGATACCTTAACACAGATTGGGGAAGTTTCAGAATCCAATAAAATCATCAAAACTAAATAGCCATATTGGCTCACCACAAAATATCCTAAAAGCAAGAGTATATTATGCTGCAACTAAATGTTAAAGCAATAAGCAAAACATGAATTCAGCAAACTCTTCAAGCTGATAATTAAGCAAAATAATACACAAGTTAAAAAAAACTGTTTTCCATTTTCAAAAATGCTAACTCAGATTCTTCCAATTGACCAGGACGAAAGGAAACCTGCAAAGTATGTTCTTGTTCTTTCAATATGTGTTATGATGTTAGTTCAGTTTCTGTGTTGATATAATAATGACAATTTTGTTGACAATTTGTGCATTAAATCTTCTTCCGTATTGAAATGCTGGTCTACAGTCAGGATCAATGATTATAGAAGTTTCTGGCATGTCTTGAATTTGTACTTTTTCAAGTTGAAGAGATGCATTGCACAAGTTTCATTATCATAATAGTTTCTGCAATGATTCTACTATCTGATGCTGAATCTCATCATTGTGAAGCATTCTCAACTCTGTGCTATCTTGATGATCCATGAAGTAATTCATTGCCTTGGGAGTCAGCAGGTTCTGACCAGTTCTGGAGAACTGATAGCGGAAATTTTGAGTAGTTTGGAGAACTGGCAAATACCACTTCTGACTGGAGATTTTAGTATCCTTCCCCTGCAACACCCACTAAGCCACGCCCACAGAACCGGTAGTAAAAAAAATTTGAATTTCACCACTGGAGTCATAGGTCCCAGTTTTTGGATAACACTCCGTAAATTAACCCATCTGAGGTACTTGGGTTCAAAAACTATTTTCCTGTGGTACCATTTTACCCAGGTAAAGGTCATGATAACAATAATTTTAGTAATAGATTGATGTTTCTTGCATGGTCTCCATAGTATTCCCTTTTTGAAGTTTTTGCTTATTTTTGTTAAGTATGCTGGTCTTGGATTGTAACATTAAAAGATTTGAATTTACTTTTCTCTGTAAATTTACAAATATTTTCATACTTCACTACCATAGAAAAATACATATATCCAGAGTCAGATATTCTACATCACCCTAAGAGGAACTTAAGAAGATTGATAGGCTTCCCTTAGGCATGAAAGATGGCTAAGTAACTCTAAGCTAAACCCAACTCACGATGTGGTTGTTGTGAAGAAAGTAGGAAACAGGAACATTAGGTATGTTTATTACCTTATACTATATACAACTGTGGGGAGAGGAGGAGGAGACAGCAGCAATAAGTCCTCATGTTACTATACCCTACTGACCTGTACAAAACAGTTATGTAGGACCTCTTGTAAAATGTGCCAATTTCAGAAAAGAGAAGATGAAGAAAAAAGGCTTAAATGAACAGACCAGAAATTTTAATCTCAATACTAAAATTTAAAAAAAGAACAAGAAACACTCATCATAAGCCACTGATATAGTCATTCAAGAATTGATTTGCTACAGTGATAGAAACCCTTGCCAAAATGTAAATAATCTGGCTATTTTACAAAGCACATAAAAATAACAGACAGTGAAAGCAAAATTAAGTTTAAAAAATACATAAAGAGGGAATGAAATTGTAAGTCAGGTTCTTTATCACCTCAAGAACCTGACTTATGGTTTCATTATGTCTTATATTTACATTAACTAAAAATACAGTATAATTACAAAGCAGAATGTGAAGGGTTGAAGTTGTTGACAGTATGTACACAAAACTGTACATAATTCAACAGAAAACAAAAGTAAAACATCATTGCAGATACATTTGAGAAAATGACAGGTTTGCTTCCAGCTCTGAAAGCCCAATCAGAGAATAGTTTTGCTTCAGGCTTATCTAACCACAGCAGCAACCATTGTAATTTCCAAAAATACTCCCAGTATAAAGGTGCTACAAGAATTTGTGGAAAATAAGAATCCATTGCTACGGCTACAGTACCAATAAGAGGCAGAGATACTGGTTTGGCCATTCCTGATTATTTGTTTTTTGTAACTATTCCTCTTTCCTTCAAGAAAACACATAAAACAGCACAAACCAATAGTCACAGCACTGCTATCAATCTTAGCAAGCTGAGGAATGAAAATGCTCACAACTACTTCCACATTTTTCTCTGATTGCTGAAATGCAGCAGAGAAGTTTGGGTGATGGTTATAAACTCACCACTGGGTTCTAATTTTGAAAACCAAAATCTTAGTTTGGATGACTGTTGTTCATAAATTATTGAAATTTCTGCCACAAATTAAAACCCAGTTATTAAATAAAATACATAAGCAAGCATAGCAGTAGGAGATAATGTGCACTGCAGGTAGTTAATTAACGTGAAGTATAACAGCATTAAGTTTATACTTAAGATATCTATATCTCCATCCCCAAACTAAATGTATAATTTTTAACAAACTGAACTTTATCTGTATATTGAAATGAATAAAGCATATGGCATACTTGCAGAAATTGAAATATTTTGATGAATTTAAAATATTCAAAACCAAACTTAAATTCTATGCAAACATCCAAAACAGTTTATCAGGTTTGCACTATTTATTTCCATGGCAATAAACAATTTTCAATCAAAAACAAAATGAACTTCTTTAAATTAAACTTGATAATAAACACTTCTGCATTTTTCATAGTGGCAATCAATACATTTATTGTATCTCACTTTACATTTTCACTTCAGCATACTCTATATACAAATACTGTTGTTGATTCTTCAAAACCTTTGCATGTCTTTCTTTCCTTTATATGTGACCAGAATGATTGGGAATATGATCTGAATACCAAACATTAATTTTGAAACCTGTTTAGAGCAGTGTTTCTCAACTTCACAACTTTTAAGTGGACTCCAATCCCTATAATTCCCCAGCCAGCATGCTGGGAGATGAAATCCACATACCTCAAAGCTGCTAAGATTGAGAAACATTAGTTCAGAGATAAGTTTAATCTGAGTAATATTGAAGGACTTCTCCGGTTATTCTATGACAGAACACAGCTTCATTCACTATTTCTATGCCAAAATTTACTCAGGTTTAACAAGAAATATGTTAAATTTCATTATGACAAGGAGCATAGCAAATACTTATAAGGGAAAAAAATCCTGCTTTCAGAAAATAATATCAGAATTACCAAAAGAACCATAAACCTTCCCGAAAGGCCCACTAATATCACAGTTCTTAAAGATATATAAAATAGCTATGTGATAATATACTGCAATGAATTTACTTCTGTTAATTTAAATATATACATTTTTTAATTGCATAGACCATACAACAGGCAGAAGATGATTAAATTACAAATCTATCTCTTGGTCCTTCTTTTCAGGAACCAATATAATATCTGCTTCAGAATAAATATTACCACTTCCTGCAGTCAGCAAAATCATATTTTTGGGGGCTGGAATCTAAATTAACTCATAGCAAGTAGCCAATGCAATATCACTTTAATGAAACATTGCTTAATATGCAGTGAGGGGGAAAATTAAAAGTGATGAAGGAAAATAAGCTTCAGAAGTCCAGTGTTGATAAATTTATTTATGAAATTGTCAGATATTTTGCTATGAGAACTAGGCAATGTTAAAGGACTAACTAAATTTGATCTCTAAAGCATTCCTCCACCCGCAGAGCCATAAATGTAGACATTTTTCTAGGTCTAGTCCTCAAATCACATATCAAGTCATGTATCCTAGCAGATTCACCAATGTCAAACAAAATTTAGCTCATTGTTCTCTACTCAATAAGCAGACAAATAAACAAGAAGTACAAATTAACTCCTAAATTAATTCATAGCAAGTAGCCAATGCAATATCACTTCAATGAAACATTAAAGTGAGTTTACAACAATTCTCTATATAACTTAGAATAAAGGTTCATGTCACAAAAATAAAAATGCATCTCTTTCAGACACTCAGAAGTCTTTTATAAAAATGTAATTGTAAGTCTGATATTGTATGAAATTGATTCCAATTATTTATTTTGCAAACATACTGGCTTGATGTAAAGGTACATTAAACAAATTTGATGTTAAGTTTACATTTTTAAAGAAATTGGACCAAATTGATTTATTAAATAAAAGTATTATTGCTATTTACGATGAAGATATTATTTAAAAAATAGAATCCTGATCAAAAACACAGGCCTGATAAGCTTACGAACCAAGGCATATTAGAAATTATTAATTTGCATGTATCTAAGATGACTCAAGTTTGGCAAAAATGCCACAAGTGATTCAAGGCTATGAAAACAGTATACACGCTCTAAAAAAAAAACCAACATTTTTTTCCCCACACCCGATGTTTTCTTTTCTAAAAGGTGGCTTAGAAACCGAGTGCTGCAGACTGAAACAACTTCTGTCATCTATGGATAGGGAATTGGTGTCTTTTTCTTCAAAGGCTGTTAGCAGGCCAAAACAAAGATGAGAATTGCTGAAAAAAGAAAAGAGAAATAGACAGGAGGGTAAGCTATGGAAAACTTTGTTAACTGAAAATACAATTGCCAAGAGATGTAAAAATATCACTGGAAATATATAGGAATGTCTCTATCCATTTAATTTCTATTAGGACATTTTCTGCCCATACCAGTGCTACTGGAGAAAAGAATGTAAGGAAAAAACGCATTATAAAATATAATCCTGTCATAATTACAACTTCTTTAGCAGTAATTATCGTAATTTTTATGTTATTGTTTTTTACTTTAATTACCATACAATTTTCTAAAAGATATATAATCTCATCAAATAACTTTTTTTTAGCATTTTTCATTTGCACAATGGCCACACACAAAAATATTTTCAGTCAGATTTAGATGCTACAAGTTTACAATGAAAATCTGAACTAAGCATAGAACATGTTTTCAGTTCATCCACTGTCTGCAGCAAACCAATTTAAAAACACAAAACCAATAATGCTACTCCTCTAATTATAGTCAAATTATGACAAAGTAAACATCAAAAGAATAACACCTCCCAGTTACCCCAAAATATCAAAATATCTTAAAATGCTCTGACAGAGCATTTTACACCTATCTTCACATAAATAATTTAGCTCAGTGTACCTATTTGCTTCTATTAAAATCAAACATTTAAAGTTGGATTAAATCATTTATAAAATGTATTAAAACATATCTGGAGGCAATGCCAGTCTTATTCCCATTTTGGTGTGGAATACAGTAAAAATTCAGCCTAATTTTCCCTCTGGAACTTCAATTTTCTTACATGTGAAAAGTCCCAGGGGTTGCATATCAGTAGGTGACTGCAGAAAAGTTTCCTAAGAAATCTGTGTATTTGCCTCAAAAATAGGACTTTTCATGCATAAGTAAATAGCTATGTTTCTCCTCAAAGTAATATGACTAGATGCAATAAATGTGATGGTTGAATGATAGAAGTGCTATGTATTGAGGCAAAGAAAGAAAACTGTATTGGGAAATGGAAAATGTGCACAAACCCCATCTTTCTAATGGTCAACTGAACTGCCTTTGGAAAAAAAGCTTCAAGAATTGTTCACAGACTGTTCTTATAGATTGCATCATGCCCCAGGTATAAATTCTATTCTGATGTACTGCTAGAGTAATGTAACATATTACAAAGGAAGTTAATATATATTATTTTTCAAATTGAAACTACTACATAGCAAACATACAGAGTGTGCCTTTATTATAGTAATAATGCAATAAAATCATAGAATTTGAATGTTCCCTTCATATTTTGGCAAATAGGTTTCTACAAACTTTTTTGACAATGGTTCAAGTGGCAATCGCAGGAGTATTTTCCTCCACTTGTTATTTCTTCAGATGACTCATTTGGAAAGTTTACATTTAAATTGCAATCATGATAAGTGCTAAAGATTAGACATTTATCTGTATATTTTAAACAAAGCTTCTCTCAACAAGCAAAGCATGAATATGTCATGAAGCAGCATGATATGAGCAAATTGTTTACTAAACTCTGGGAGTAATTAGAATAATTTCTACTGTTATGTATTATTTACTATAATTGCAATTGGATGTCTATGTACGCATAAGAAAAATTGCTAAGAGTGATAAATATTTCACATATATTGATTCCAAAATATGTTAAATGGTCAGAAGTACCTAATTCAGAAGTATATAACAAATTCTTCATACAAGTTAAAATAATTTAAGCCAAAGAAAACAAATTTCTCAACTAAACTCTGCAATACATATTGTTAATCAAAACTGAATGTATATCATCTGATAATTTTTCCAATTCATTGAACAGATTAAATACAGATCAGTGTTTCAGAATTTGATCCTATAAAGATAACTACATATTTATTATTTGTTTCCCTTTTGATTTCCTGCATATAAACTTATTTAAAAAAAGAAAAATATAATGTATTTCTTTCCTAACATGTACATATATTTGCTAACAGAAGGATGTTTGCAAACTGCTGACGGATGGGGAACATAAAATTAGTCCTAACCATTATATGCTTAAGTTATATATTTTATATTAATAAGCAGAATTGTTTCATTTGCTCAGTGTTACATTATAAGAATCATGGGACTGTTAGGCTAAAAGTATTTCAAAAATGTAAAATTTTTGATAACATAATTTTTATAAGCAGAAGAGGGATTACATCACTAGTACTAAAATTATTCTAACGTGACATTAGATATCTTCAATGAAGCTAACCTCAAAAAGGAGATGTAAGAGTTCCAACTTCATGTTATCAAAAAGACTGGAAAGACTAGTAACTATCCCCGCCAGCTAGCTGGTGTTACTTTTTTGTGCCATAGTTGGAGAAAATTACAAAAAAAGACTTATATTATCACACTCATCAAATTCACGGTTGAAGAGTTATGAGGTTTTTTTTTTTAAAAAAATAGGGCTTTTCTAACATTTGTTACAAAATGTTACCATATTACCAAATTACCATAAAGTAATTCACTTCACAGGCAAATGTTTTAAAATGGAACATACAGCTGGTCCTTGAATTACAACTGCAATTGGGATCAGAACTTATGTTGCTAAGCAATGTGGTTGTACATTATATGACCCCATTGTTTTGCGATGGCATTCCCAGCAAATCCAGTTGTCTTCATAACATAACCCCATATTCAATACCATACCTTTAAATGGTTGCTGAAGTAGTTGAAACCCAAAAACTACCTGTACATAAAGTGATACAAATATATTTCAAGCATACTAGTACCTCTATACTAGAACCCATACTATACCAATGTAAACCTTTTAGGAAATAATACTGTATTCTATTTATATTAGGTATTACTTACACAATTTGTATTAAAGATGTTCTGATATCAGTGTTGTGGTTGTTCAGGATAAACACTCATAGTTCTATAGATTTCTTTTAGAAGAAGTAGAGCCGTATCTTCTGATTCCCTGCAGATTAAAAAAAATGCGAATTTCCAGTGAATTGCCTAATTTGAACAACATTATTGTATTCTGTAATGCAAAGAAGGCAAATACCTAACTATGCAGAAAAATTGAGAAATTGCTAACCTGGTGTTCTTTGATTGCTTTTCAAATTAATTTCTTCAACATGTTTCAAACATATGTCTCTCCGCAACATCATAATAGTTTACTTAGGTCATTTAATCCTTCAGCTATGTTTTTTTAACATCAACATGCAAAACACAGCATCTCAATCATCTTGACACATAATTACTTGCCCTTAATTTACTCTCTGATTTACATTATATTTCTTCCAATTGTATCTCATTTCATTGCCCATTTTCTTCATTCATTAAACAACTTATTTTAGACTTTATTCTATCATGATTTCAGGCTCAGTTTTAATCTTCACTGATTTGATCATGATTATACTAATAATGTCTCCTTTCAACCAATTGGTCTACAAGCATTCTATTGCTAGCAGCTCAAATTCCTCATCAAATTAAACATCTTTTAAATCCCATAACATCACATTAGCAGTCTCTAAGCTCTGCTACAATAAAGAAAAAACAGTTTCTTGAATGTTTTCTGTAACTTTTATTAATAAAATTCATCTTTTTCACTTATTTTATATTTTTGATCGGGTATTTATTTATTTATACAGCGTATGGCAAATACATGCATTTATAGTGGTTCAAATGCTAATGTCCAGTCTGCTTAGCCATTCAAAGGCAGGGTGGTCTATGTTGAAAAAAATCAGACATTGGGCCAGTGTAAGCTCTTGATGGACATTCAGACACAATGTGATGGTTATTTTGTCAAGGAGCACCACAGTCACACTGAGAGGTAGAGACAAGACCCCACTTAAACAATGAGTTCTGGCAGACTCCATGTTGGGTATGGATCCTGTTCAGAGTTGATGCTGGCGAGGAAGGTCAAAACCCGGCACCTTTTGTGTAGGGTCATCTACGTAACTGCCTGTATCTGGGCATTCAGTAGCCTATTTGGCTTTCCACTGTGTTAGTCAACTATTGAGCGAGTGCCAGAGAGGGCTTCCTGAATTTAAGCCTGCTAATTGATAGATGAGGAAGATCAGCATGCATAGGAAGAAGTGGGTTTCTCATAATTTTGTTGTATTCCTTTACTAAGGCTTCCTGCCTTTATAGAGTTAGTGGTGCAATGTGGCTCAAGATGGGGGCCTAAAAAGTAGGCGCAGATTTTATGCAACCGCTTATGATCCCCACTGTATCATTTGATCAGGTGACATTTATAGATCCAATTTGATTGTAATTCTAATTAATGGGTATTAAGGCTGTCCTGAACAATATTACAAGAATCCACAGCTAATGAAACCAGGGATAGATTGTTACTGCTGTTACATTATTAAATTTTATGTTCTATCTTTCTATTTCTTGGGTCATATACTCAGGTAGAATCTGCTTGCCCAACATGCTCAAGCTTGGAGGAAGCTGTAAGAGATTGAGTGGATGGGCGTGCAGAATAGCCTTCTTAGTAGCAACTCCCATACTCTGAAACTCTGATTTCCCAAATCAGGAGAGTCCCCATCATGCTAGAAGATTGTAAAAGTGGCATTCTTTCACATAGGCATGTGGTGTGTGAAAATGTAGCGGTAGAAAGCAACACTGAGATTTTAGTTGTGTTTTTCTTGTTATTGATTTTTATAATTGTTTAAGTTACCCATAATTTTGTGTGTGATATACAAATGGTTGTATGACTAATGGTTGGAAGCAATGATACATAGATCCTTTCTCTAATAGTATCAAGCTTCTTAGCAAAGGAACAAAATTTGATTCCATTCAGAGTAGAACTATGTTTATTTTGTTTATTAATGCACTATTGCAAAAATAATATACTAACAAACTATTTTTATTTTTTTATAATACAGTTAGCAGCACTCTAATTTAATATTTGTGCATGTTCAGAGAACCAGGCTCTGTATTAATTTATTGCTATTTCTAATTATTTGGTGGTGTTGAATTTCATCTTATAATAAATTATGTAATGAGTATATTAATACCAAAACAAGACGACTAATTTTTATTTGTAATCCAGGACATCCTAATCCTATATAACCTGCAGCAGAGTACTGAATCTAATAGATATATTACAAAGTGCAACAACTCTATTTTTATAAACAATTAAGTAACCTTCAAGTTGTCCAAATAGATTTCTGACAAAGATATAATGGTGAGCTAATCCCCAGAAGAATTTTTGTATAATTTATTTGAGTACATGCCATAATGAAATAGAACATATAGAAAGACCAAAAAACTCATTTATTATACAAATCCTTGCATCTCTTCAGCCCTATACTTAAAGGGCAGGTAGAGAGAGACTGACTATTACCTATTAACAGAAAAAAATATTGTTTGTCTACTACCTCAAGATTTATTTTATTAATCAGCAATGTATGATGTATTTGGCTGCAGCCTACTATGTAAGAACCCAACAATTTTAAAACTTTTTTTTTTCATTTTAAACACTTGTATTTTTAGATAGTTCTAGAGTAGAACTATACATGCAAAAACTGCATTAGATAGAATAGATTTACAGTAGATTCTATTCTATGTTAAATATAGAATTTAGATTTTTTTTATAGTATAAAAAACTAAACATCAACAGGTTGGAATTCTGATGTTAAATATTCTACAACATTCAGTTCTAAATACCTAGTTACCAGGTACTGTATGATACAGAACTTGAGGCTTAACTTCAGAGACTTGACCACAATATTTGCAGAACTGGATTTTCCAGTCACTCCCTTTTTCTATCAACCAGCACCAAATCCTGCCATAAACTACCCAAATAATATTTCTTATTTGCCAATGTACAGGGTTAGTCCACAGAATTTTCTTTAACACAAGAGTGCCATCTTATGGATATATTATCTAACAGCCTTCCAACATAGATCAACAAAGGAAATTGAAACATTTCTGAAGCAAAATATAAGCAGGCAAACTTGGGCGCAAATTCTAAACCTACTTTAAAAAAAAGGCATATAAGAGGAATAAATTATGTTATTTACACTCTCAGAATATAGTGATGGTAATCAACATGAAAATTTTTAAAGTGTGGGAAACTAAGTTCATAGAGGATAAAATTGTTGGGAAAGTTAAGGAAAGAAGAGACTTGATTTCATGTTTTCTCCCAGTAGATATCAGGTTAGCAAATGTTGTGGCAGAATATTTGATAAGAAATAGCAGGTTGGAATATTTTACTAAAATACATCAAATACAATACAACATTTCCATATTTAGATGCCAGATGTAATACCCCCACATCAAAGTTTTTAGCAAAGTAAATAGACTACATTTACAAGTCCTCATTTTGTCGTTTAAATCAAAATGGCTATAAAGTCATAAAGTTATAGGAATATATCAAGGGCCACTTTAGTTGTATAAGAATTTACCCATCCCTATGGTCTGAAATGAAGCTCTTCATTTTGTTAAACACTACTTCAGTAAACAGGTCCTTTGTTCTTAAACTGATGCAGCAGTGTAATCCTGAATATCTCATATCATTGTTCATAAAATTCACATCTCTTATCTTAGGGAATGAAAGTAATCTAAAGCAGGGATCCCCAACCCTTGGCCCATGGAAGGGCACTGGTCTGCTGCATGCCAGCAACTGGGCCGTGCGAGCAAGTGAAGCCCCATCTTTGGAATGCAGGCAGCATACAACATCATGTCTCCTCCGGTCCACAAAAAAATCTCTCTCCATGGAACCAGTCCCTGATGCCCCAAAGGTTGGGGGCCACTGATCTAGAGAAAATTCAAAAAGACGCCAATAGAAGATAATATATGTAGCTCATGATTAAACTGTGGGGTCCTTGGTGCTCTCTGACCTTGTTTGCTTGCTTATAGACATGTTATTTCTCAACTAGTGAACAGCTAGTGAGTGTGGGGTTTCCATCCTATTTATATACAGTAGTTTGTCCTACCACTATAGGGTGGGGGACTGGTTTTCACCTTAGTAGTTGTTTTTGATTTGTTTGGGCTTGATCGTTTTTCTAGTATTTTCCATCAGGACTATCAGTGGGAAAATTCATGGGTCTCATTTACAGGACTCTTGTGGGTCCAGGAAGGTAGAAGTTCTTTCCCATGTCCTCAATGTCCTTTTTATAATGCACACAACTATCCCTACATTTGAGGGTCATACTGATACATTTTTCTGTATTATTTTTTGAGATAATTCTACACTCACATACCAGGTGTCCAAATACTTTTATAAAGTAATGCAATTGTGCAAAAGTTTTAATTAGATATATTGTTTTATTGTTTTACTGGATTTTTTTCCCCTGATCAGTTGTTGTATTGCATACTTTCCTTTTTTATTGTATAGATACATCAAAGATCATAATAAAGAAGTTTGATTTGATTTCTGGTGTTAATTCCTGCTTATCTGGATGTTGGTTACTGAAAAGGATGTGTTCTGGTCTATTTTTCTTTCCTCCTTAGCTTTTTACTTTCACTTTTTCATAGTGGGTAAATGTGGTTTATAATCTATTTGTCTATTGATGGCAGATTTGCCTAAATGACAAGCTTCCAAGAATCCCCTAGCATTTTGAATGAAGTTTAGTCTAGGACGCTTACGGATTCTAGCTGAAACTATAGATGGCTTTATCCATAAATCATGAGATTAACTTTTCATCCTGCTTTTTTCTTCATACTCCCATCAATAAGACACATAGAGATAAACCACATTTACATGCCATTCAAAAGGAACAAGCTAAGAAAGAAATAAAAAGACCAGAACACATCTTCTCCAGCAACCAACATTCAGATAAGCAGGTATTAACACCCAAAAAACAATCAAGCAGAAAACAACAGCCAAATCAAGGAACTATCAAGAAGAAAACCATACCCCAACTAACAATGGCAGGGAGCAGAGTCATCAATACATATCTGTTTACCTAGTTTAGTAATAAAATATCTGCAAGGAACCAAGCTCAGATAGTATCAAGGACTCCACATGCAAAAAGGTGCTAGTAATATATAGCAATAGAAATAGCATTTGGACTTATTAACTGCTCCATGGTGCTTTACAGCACTTTCTGAGCTGTTTAGAATGTCGCATATCATCCCCAACCATCTGGGTCCTCATCTTACCAACCTCAGAAGAATGGAAGGCTGAGTCAACCTTGAGCTGATCAGGATCGAACTCCTGGCAGTGGGCAGAGTCAGCCTGTAATACTGCATTCTAACATTTGTGCCACCATGGCTCCTATACATGGATTTTATAAATGCATTGTTACTTGCTGAACTATGATGTGGTAGTATATACCTTTGCTGCGAATATTAAATGTAGAAGACAAAATAATAGCTGAAAAAGAGGGATATATAAAGAAACAAAATTTTGCAGCACTGTTTGTTACAAAAAAATTCTTACCAGTAGCACAAGTGACTCTGTAAAGCGAAAAGATACTCATTAAAACTTTCTATAGGTTTTTCTTGAAGAACATAATCAATACGACGGCCTCCATTTAGCAAACCAATTTTTATATTCAAGTCTTCATCCTTTGAAAGTTCTGGACTTTCCACTATCTTTTCTGCTTCATGAGAAAGAAATTGAGTATGAAAAATAAGTTGAATCCTCCTTTGGCCATTCTTTCTATTTCAGTATTAACCCTTTATATAACAGAGTTAAAAATTTTCTCCTGATACAGTATATATACACTTCTGCAAATAAATGTTAAGAAGAAAACAAATATTCAATGGGAATTTATTATATTATGCATATTCAGAAACTTTCAGAAAACAAGCCATCCTGTCACACAGTCTTACTGTGCAGGATATCCTAAAAACATCCAGTGATGTGTGCAACAATTGATCTAAAATGGCCTGGTGTGCTTCAGTTCCAGGATAGATGCTTTCAGTTAAATGCTTCTTAAAGAGGCTATGCTTTTCCTGGATTTACATGGTAACTACTTAGGCTTTGAATATGTTTTACTTAGTCCATAACACAATAGGATTACTTGTTTCACTTTGAAATCCACATGAATTTAAAACTAACAGCACGTGATAAGAAGGCAGATAAAGGCACTTCAAAGATAATCTCAAATTATATTTCATTGCAATAACTTCAGATTATTTTTTTCACTAAAAGTACTTTAGTTTGAATCACTTAAGAAAAGTTAAGTAAAAAAAAATCAACACAGAATAAAATAAACTTTTTTTGTCTAGAAAGTCAATATTTGATTACCTCAGGCAATTGTGTTATTTAGAAAAGTTGTCCTGTTTATCATGGTGCATAGCAATGCATTTACTATGTGCAACATAAGGTTTTTACTAGATGTACCAGATAGTCCTTGACTTACAACCACATATGGGACTTGGTTAGCAACCATTTCTACTGTGGTCATTAAGTGCATTACTGTGATTGTAAAATAAATCACACAGTCATTAAGCAAAGGTAGCTTTCCCAATTGACTTTATTTATCAGAAGCAGATTGGGAAGGTCACAATTTGTGTTCATTGACCATAAGATGCTGCAACTGTCATAAATGTGAGTCACTTGCCAAGCACCAAAATTGCAGTCAAGTGCTTGCAGACATATTGTGACAGTCACAACTTCAAACATGGGTCATAAGTCACTTTTTCTGAGGCCATAGTAACATAAACTGTCATTAAACAAAGGGTTATAAGTTGAGGACTATTTATAACTATTTTCCTTTTAGGAGAACTTGTAATTTTTATCCCCTTCCAGGATAAAAATGAAAGTTTGCATATTGGAAAAACTACCCAATGCTTTATCAAGTTTCAGATTATGAGATGCGAGTTCCTAACACGAGACTCTAAACTTCAATCCTGCAGAGAAATAGAAACACTACTACAGTTTTATCACTTTGAGCAGTTACTGAAAATGATATGGTTGTATCAACCAACCTTCTGCCTCATCTTTTTCCTCTTCTGCTTTAATCTGGTGGGCCACTTTCTCCAATTCTGCTTGGAGTTGTGAAGAAGAGGTATGGGCACGTGCAAATTCATTAAGGGTTTGCCAAGCACTTTTCAAAGAGCTGAGAAAGCCTTGTTTCAAGTCTGATCCCATTCGAGAGAGAGAATCTTTCAATTCTAATGAAAAAAGATAGAAAAAAATATAAATTTGTTCCAACCACTGCAAATTTAAAAAGCGATTACTTTGTTAAATACAAATGTTAGTTACCTAGAAGTAAATACAGAATACAGCTTCAATTAAACAACAACAAAAACCATTCTGCCATCTTTAGACAATTATTTATTGTAGCTCTGTTCAATTTGAATGCTTATCTGGTTCACTGTCCCGGTTTTAAAAATATTTAAATGTATTAACCTGGTAAATTGATGGATCCTCATGAATCAATTAAGGTTGGAGATAATATGGCTTCACTTCTATCTGTCTATCTTCCCCTCAAGCCCCCTTTTGAAGAGCAGAATGCCAGCAGACATGGTCCTCTCCAAGCACTTGTGGGGAGCCATGCAGGGGGCCACCTGAGACTCCCCCTACATTCTATCTATCTTTTATATTAACAATAGGATTGTGGAATCCTTTGGATGCTTCATATGCAAAATAAATTAAATGAGGACTAGATCTGAAGCACTGCATAGCTGTAATTAATCTAAACAGGCTCCTTAAAGAACGGAGTATGACTCTTTAAAATCAGATATTTATTTATCAATCGAATCTATGTCGCTGTCCATATCACTTAGCAACCAAAACTCCATATTGAATTATCATTATTAACCAAGGACTACCTGTAGCTGCACTATTCTAAACATATAATTGTAACCATGAGTAGTGACCATTGTTATTTTCTGTGAGTATTGGTCAGGGAAAAATAAATTACCAAAGTGGAGGACAGCATTTTGGAGGGAAAGTTTTATAAAATATTTTTTTCACACAATGATACTAAAGATTTTATATCTTGATATGTTGTTGCATTCTATTTGCAAGCTTCTTCTATTTGTGCTTTATAAAATACATACATACTGACTTATGTTCAAGTCAGATATTAGAAAATATTTCAATAGTTTATTTACCAAGGTGGAGTCTTTTTCTGCCTTTGTGGTGTGGAATGAGGACTGGTTTCACATCAAAATCAGAAATAATCATAGGTTCTAGCCTGTATGCCACTGGATCAAGCTAAAGAATTAAAAATACAATATAAGTAATTTCAAGTCTAAACATAGAACTGCACAACTAGCTTCACATAAAAAGATTGGACTGGTTTCTCAATAGCAGCCAGAGGTCCAACATAGTTGGGAAGAAAATACATTAAAACATTTGCAATGCAGTATCTAAAATCAAGTATTATCCTTAATGTAGCTTTTCTATTTCTATTTGTTCACATGTTATTTATTTGTAGATTTAATTTATTTGTAAACACATTATCACGCATGAAATCATTTAATAATTAGTGTATTGATAATCAAACAATAAAATATCAGGTCTTAAGCATTCAATACTCAGTTATGCTACAGAACAGAACACTCAAATTACAAGAAAAGCACATATACAAGGGATCTAGTGTACAAATAGAATACTGCACAAAGTGTGTAGTACACCTTTTTTCAGTGTTTAAGAAAAGCCTCTGTAATTACTGTAATTAAGACAGTAAATCCTAATAATATATAAGTTGTTAAAGGGAACACAGAAATGCATCCTCTATTTATGCTTACAAGACGCCTAAAGTTTTGATCTGTAATTTCAGAGAACTAGAAGAGGGAAATAAATAGATCTAGGTCATTTGAAAAACAGAAGGCAACTCCTTCTTAGCAACAAATAAAGAACAATTACAAAATATTCTCAGATATTAATAGCAATAGCACTTAGGCATATACCATTTCAGTGCTTTACAGCCCTCTCTAAGAGGTTTACAGAGTCAGCATATTGTCCTCAATGGTCTAGGTCCTTATTTTACTGACCTCAGAAGGATGAAAGGCTGAGTCAACCTTGAACCAGTCAGGATTGAACTGCTGGCAGTCGGCAGAATTAGCCTGTGATATTGCATTCTAACCACTGCGCCACCATAGCTCTTTTCATCCCAAACAGAAACTTATTCACCCCCAAATATTTAATAAATCAAAATGTAGACAATCCAGTGTAGAAATACATGTAGACCTCGACTTACAACCACAATTGGTATCTGAATTTCTGTTTTAAGCAAGGTGGTTGTTAAGTGAGTCACATCCAATTATACAACCTTTTTTGCGTTGTTGGTTAAGCAAATCACTACCACTATTAAATGATCCAGGTCGTCATTAAGTACATTCAGTTTTCCCCATTGACCTTTCTTACTGGAAGATGGCTGGCAAGGTCAAATGGTGGTCACATGACCCTAGGACACTGCAACTGTCATAAATACATATCAGTTGCCAAGCACAAAAGTTTTTATCAACTGACTACAGGATGCTATGAAGGTTGTAGTTGTCCAGTCGTAAGTCATTGTTTTCAGTGCCACTGTAATTCTGAATGGTAACTAAACAAATGGTTGTAAGTCAAGAACTACCCGTGTGAAATTCTAAAAGTTTTCCTGATTTGCATGGCAACTCAGGGTTTCAAATATTCCATTTACTCCCTAGCCCTAAACAAAGAATGTAATCTTTGGTGTCACATTTTCTTTTAAAAATATAAAATATGATAAAAATAGGTCAGAAATTAATTTTCTTAGTTTTCAAAAAGTTATACTTAGAATTTTAAATATGTAAGATACAATATTACTTTCACTAAATGTAATTTAAAACCTGTTCTTCTCACTAACCGGATGATATATGTTAAAAAATCCCTTGCAGGTTGGCAGCCTGTAGCTTTCCTCAATTTTTTCCACGCCTCTTACAGTGAGAAATACACCAATTGGAGAACCCAAAGCAAAGAAAATATTTGGTTCAAAATCAAGAGTGTTGTATACCACAGACACCTAGAAGACATAAAAGTATTTTATTTTTAAAAAGAAAAGAAATAATAATCTGTTTTATGTCAGCCACTTCAGTTTCAGCCATTAACATGTATCCCCAGACTGGACATAACAAAGCTGATTTTGGAAACAGCAAATTACAAAATGCCTTTCACCTGAAAGCATTTTAGGTGAAATTGATGCTCTGTGAGTAGGTTCACAACAAACATTCTATCATCTGTATTCCAGCTTCTGAGGAATATTTTTTGTTTTCACTTTATTCTCTAATACACAATCCCTCATCTGTAACTGTATAGACTATGCAGAAAAGACTGTAGTCCAAAAGGGGACAATTATACCAGTTGGAAACAAAATGTATTTATTTACAATATATATATGTGTGTGTATTGTACCTGGCCTGTCCCCATGTCAAAAAATTCATAGTCTACATGTGCGGATGAAATGGATGCTCCAAATGGGCGCTTTCGTTTGGATGCCTCTTGAGGAATGGCAGGTTCTGAAGATGCAGTAACTGAAGAAAACTTAACTGTCTGAGCAACTTCTGCCATTGCAGCCTTTTTTTGTTCCTATTGAAAAAAAGATTTTTAAAAACTGAAGAATCAAAGAATTACTCTTAAATAAGTATATGCATTTATATTTGTACAGACACAGGCACACACTAACTTTGTTACAGGTTCAATTATCTTTTCTTCAGGATCCTCTGGAACTGCTCAAAATATCATGCAGAATTCTTTTATTTTTTCTTTCAATTCCAGGAAAGCCAAATTGTCTACATCCTTTTTCATCTGTTTATTATTTCTGTTTTACTTGCTTAAATTTTCACTTTAAAATTTCACTTAATTTCTCTCCTACGATGCACCTATAGAATCTTCAATTTTTTTCCTATTTATTCAAACATTTTCTATAATATTTCTGGCTAATTTTTTTCTATCAGTTGATCTAATTGCCTCATTTTGCTTTGCAGCTTTTCTGATGGATTATTCATAATCCAAACATAAGTCTATTACAAAGACGAAGATAAATAGCAGGCTTCTCTTTTCCCCCCACTGTCATTCTCTCTATAGCTTTAAGGGTTTAAATCCCTGCAGTTTTCTTGATAAGATGTTTCACAGCTTTCCACTTAACCATTACCCCAAATTGTCTCTCAGGGTTTCAAACACAAAAATTCTAACTAGGAGCTGAATGTTAAATATTTGTTCAGAGTACTTTACAAAAGGTGTTTCTTCCATATAGAAGGTCAGTAAAATATGTTATCACTCTGCCTATTTCTGTGATGAAATGTTAATATTCAAACAGAGACAAAAGGAGAGTCAATGAGATTGTTTCCCAAAACAAAACTTCCATTCCTACCTGTTTGGCTGCTCTGTCTTTGACAAAGTTTGCTATCTTCTTCCGAGGCCCAAGAGGTATCCCCATTTCCTTCAGGTCATCAATTGTACACAGCAGCTTTTAAAATAAAATGAGGGAAATCAAATTTTGTATTCTTCCTTTAAAAAAATAAAAATACATTTCCCTATAGCTGGTTAGTTAACAAAAAAGTATAAACATTTTAGTAGTACAGGTTGTCCTTTATTTACAACAGTTCATTCAGTCACCATTCGAATTTACAACAGCACTGAAAAAAGTTATGACAGTTTTTCACACCTATGACTATTACAGCATCCCCTTGGTCACACAATCAAAATTCAGATGCTTGGCAACTGACTTGTATTTATGATGGTTGCAGTGGCCTGGAGTCATCTGATCTCCTTTTGCAACCTTCTGACAAGCAAAGTCAATGGCAAAGCCAAATTCACTTAACAACTATGTTTCTACCTTAATAATTCCAGTGATTGACTTAACAATTGTAGCAGGAAAGGTTGAAAAATGATGCAAAATGTACTTAACAAATGTCTCACTTAACAACAGAAATGTTGGGCTCAATTTTAATTGTTAGTCAAGGACTCACATATGCATTGGTGACAATTACCATGAATCCTGGGAGGCAAGTTAAGAACCTCCAGTATAATCAAGTCTGTGTAATTGAAAGAACAGCTATTTCCCCACAGCTTTCCTTACTTGTAGATTGAAAGCAGCAGGACCCAGAGTTTATAAAATAGATCAAAATACATGCTAAAAACCAATACTGTAAACCTAATCTATTAATCCCCGAATGTCATCACAGAGAAATCCTAAGTAAAGTAAGTTATTGTGATCAATAAATCATACTCATGCAGCTTACCACTGTGATAGCAATGTAGCTGCAGCACCATTATCTTGTGTTTTTATTTTAGTTTTTAATTCATTATAATTTATCTCTGGAAATTAAGCTTTTATTTTTCTACATCCTCTCAACTCTGAAGGAACAGGTTACTATTTTGAAAAGCCTCGATGATTCAAAACAAGCTCTTTCCAATCTCAAGAGTTTAATTTGGATAATTTAACTCCAGGAGTGACAGTGACAAAGGCATAGGCAATTCATTTCTTAGCTTCAACTTGCCAGGATACTGGCCTCTAACCTACCAGTAAATATCTTAGGTCAATTGCAGTTCAACTTTCTCAAATTCTTAGTTGCTGGTCATGAAACTTCAACAAATATATTGAAAGGATCTATTTGCCCCTCAATTCTCACCAAAGGTAAAAGCTACAAATTCTGTTGACCTAAACAATACTAATTCCAATGACTCCTTTATACACCAAAAATGTACTCCAAGTTTTATAATTCAAGCATATAGTCTCCTGGGATCAGTTTAACTTCATACATTGGCTTGTCCGTCAGTCAAAGAGCTATGGCCTTCACTAGATAAATACCAACGCCAACTCCAGCAAAATGATATCTGGCAACATATAATGCTATATGGTTGCTCTCATGGAGTACTGTTGATTGAATGCTATATATGAGGATCCTGCTTTCATTGGTGTATTGAGGCAATATGAAATCCTTTTTCACAGGAAGCCAACCTCGCCCACCTGCCCCTGCCCCCCCCAAAAAACCATTTGGAATTGTGAAACTAAAAAGTTATGCAGCGGCTTCCTGTTATAATAATACATACTCTGAAGAGTGGTGATTTGTATGTATTTGTATATATTTTGTACAAGTGTTTCTTCTGTCTTTTTTATTCACTAAAACTGGCTACTGAACCGAAAAGTGCTCATGTTAATTTGTCATTAACATGACAACTTCCATGCAAACACTGAAATAATACTTATTCTTCTCAAGGATTTATCATTTTGTCTTAAAATTATTTTAGAGGTTGCAAATATTTCAGGCATTGAATGATCAAGAGGAAGTGGGGATGGTCTCTTGTTCACTAACATTATATTACTCCATGCTTATAAATTCCTCTGGATAACAGTGATTCATGGCTCAACAGATACTTCAAGATGTGCATAAAATGGGAATGGTATTGTTTTGAATTCAAACAAGCCATGTTATTTTTTAATTTTTACTATACCAGAGATTCCATGTCAATCTTCTCCTTTTCAAAAGTACTGATATACTCTGACAAACTAAGCATTTCCAAAGTTTTTTGCAAGGTTGGAATATCATCCTCATCATCCTGATCCCCATGTTCATCATTTAAATGAGACAGTAGGCAACCAGCAGAATTTGAATTCAATGATCCCTTGAAAGAAAAACAAAATCTGCATTAGGTTATAAAATTTAAAACCAAACCAAAGTCAAAATAGATCAGTTTCACTAATGAATATGGATAGCTCAAAAATAAATCTCATAGAGTGAGTTTATGTATGTTTGGTGCTCACTTCAATCCACCATGTCACAAAGAGAAGCCCAACCTGGATTACAGAACATCTAGCTTGTATCTAAAAAAACATCGGGATTAAACACTAATTAAAGTTAACTCTCAAAGGCATTATAGGATCATAAAAACTCATACAGAAAAAATATATTCTGCAATAGCGACAATACAACTATTTATGACAGAATTCCTTTTAACAATAAAAGCTAAGCTTTTAAATGAAAATATGGGCAGGGGATCTTTTAAAAATCTGATTAATTAGCATACACCATGTATGCATATGCTGGCATATAGAAAATGTTTTTCCTTGATTAATGCAGTGTAACTATCCTTATGAACTGATCATTTATGAGAGAAAGCTTATTCTATTTGTTAAAAAACAAAATCACATATACTTGAAAAAAGACATTCAGTAAATAATGATAGAAGTACTGTGTAATGTGATTAGAATACATATTTGTAATATTCTGAATCATTTGTGATTCATTAGTCATCATTTGAAGATTTTTTTTAGCAATCACACAAATATTAAATAAAATTGTTTGGTAATACAAATACCTGCTGGTCTTCTGTCACATCTTTCACAGCACCATTGGAAGCAACAGGAGTAGAATTAACTCCAGATGTCCAATCCTTCTGATTGGATAGTATGTCAAATAGAACCAAGGATCCTAGGAGATATGAATTGTTAGAAATAGAATTTTGAGATACCTAAACAGTCTGGCCTTAAACAGTAATTACACATTGACCTCTTAGGTATGTTTCCCAACCTTCACTTTGCCTAACAAAATAGATATTCACAATGTCAGAATACTTGAGATGTTTCTAGGACAAAAATCTGACTACAACTTTAAGAACTAAAACCCCCGTTTAGACAACAGTCCTCAAAAGTTATGCAATAAAAATGTTATATTGAACTAATCATCATATTAAGACAATGTATTACCTAAACTGTGTCCAGCAACAGAGATTCCTCCTTTAAAGTCAGGGTTTCTGCTCATGAATAGTGCATAAAGATGGTTCATCTCTACTGTTACTTTCTCCACAACTGTTTGGCAGTAAGTGGGACTATTATAAAACAGGATATCAAGTAGAGTCTCATTGGTGAAGTGGCGGAGACGTCCAATAGTTGGCAATGTTATTTTTTTAATATTCCTTGAAACACACAATTGCACAGGTTATTACAAAGTGATTTCAAATAAACTTTGCTAAAACTAAGAAACTTGAGAGTAAAAATTGCCAAAGTAATTTTCACAAATATTTTTCAAGTCTATAAAGCAACCATGGTCACTATGGTATTATTTTCTTGCAGCTTCTCCACTCCATTGTAACAGCCTTGCCCCAATTTAACAGACCATTTAGGGAAAAGAAGTCTGTTAGTCATGATCCTCTGTTAAATTGAAAGCTATACCATTGTAGAGATTAACTTTGATGCTATCATCACTTAAAATTGTCACAAATTTAGTCTGTTGTATCAAGGTTCAATAAACTGAAGTTTCACTTTGTGTGAACCTAATTAATGATGATATATTCAACAGCCCATAGTTAGGCAAGCTATGAATGTAGTATGCAATGCATCTGTTTGGTCTAGAGGCTAAGGCTCCGAGCTAGAAACTGGGATACTGTGAATTCTAGTCTGCTTTAGGCAAGAAAGCCAGCTGGGTGACTTTGGACCAGTCACTCTCTCAACCTAATCCACCTTTACAGGGTTGTAATTATGAGGAAAATAGGACAAAGGAGTATTATTTCATCTTCAGTTATTTATAAAAGTAATAAAGGTGGAGAATGGATGGATGGATGGATGGATGAATGAAGCTAATCAACATATCAGACAGGGATAGATCTGTTCCCTTCATATACCATAAACAGATTAAAAATCCTGCAATTTACAACATGGGTCATACATTAAACATAGTGATATGAAGTATATCATATATCAGTATATCACTTTGTCATACCACAATTTGCACTTCCATGATCTCAAATAAATTATTTAAAAACACTTAACTAGTGCAGTAGTCATTTAGCCCTACTATCCTAGAAAGACTGGTTCAAATATTCAAGGAATCACACTGGTTGCATCCAAATGTTACAATTAGCAAATATTTAATATGGCAAGAACAATACTTATTAAATCTATTTTCTATTTTCCCCATCCTTGTACAAGCTCTAAATGTGATCAGCCTTAAACACGATTGGATCAAGCTAATTTCAAAACTATGGTATTACTTTGGCCTATTTCAGATAAATCAGTTATAGTACAATAAAATGCAGTTATAAAAAATGGAATAAATGATATGGAAAAATCACTTTTTATTCTAATGAAAAAGTATATATATTCTCAGTATATGATAACTTATTCACGGGTAGCAACATTTAATAATTCTAAACTAAAAAGTCACCAAAATTATACACTTAAAGTCACAACTAATTAACTTTGAGTAATCAATGATCAAAGAACAATTCCATTTGTTAAAATGACTGGACGAGAGTGATATGTGAGTACAATAGACCTACCTATCCACCCCTGTTGCATCTCCATGCAAAGCATTGTGCCAATGAACTGGCAGGAATTCGACTCTATTCACTTTATGTTCTTCTATCGATTTCCTAAAATGTGTTTGCAGCAATTTCAGGGATACTGTCCGAAAGTCATCAACTTTTTAAAAAGGGAGAAAAGTAATAAGGGTGTCATACAATTAATATTACCTGAAGAAGATTATAGTAATTGTGTGGATACTGACTCTAACAGAATTTCTAACTTCTGAAAATAAATATTTTCTAGCCCAAACTCTGCAGATGGACTTGTAAAAGCATAGCTAAAATTTTGTATATACTCCACATATTTTGATTTTTAAAACCCCAGCAAGTTCTAGAGCAGGGGTGTCTAAGTCACGATGTCACGGCGGCGTCATATGACATATCGGGACTTTTTCCCCCTTAGCTAAACTGGACAAGGGCAAGGCCAGCACATGACGCATCCGGCCCATGGGCCAGGAGTTTGATAGCCCTGTCACTTTCCAAGCCATTAGAAAATATGTATGTTGTTGATTTGGATAAAGCATCAGAAGCAATTTACCACTTTTCATCTCTCCTAATGGGAAAACTTGACTTCTAAATATTATCAATAATAAGTTTATAATTCTGTTTTCTTTCACTAATAGCTTTTAAAACTAATATATCATTTATTTGAATACCTTTTAAGAGAATTATATCTTTGGAGCAGTGTATTCATTCCATTATCTTCTTAACCACATGGAAATTAAATTTGTATGTTTATATTTCTGATGCAACAACCATTGTGATTTGAAATCCAATTTAAAGACGAGCCTAAAGGCTTTAGTGTATTAGATTAAATGATGTTACAAACAACTCTAAATAAAGGTCTAAGAACCACTACATAGTAAGATACTAGCTGAAAAAAGGAACAAGGAAGTATGCTTCATATGCATTCCTGTATCCATACTTAAATAATCCTACCGCATTCAACAATGCTTCTGAAGCGTAGATCGCAGACTGGGCCAATTCCATGGACCATAAATACCAAATGATCAATTTGAGACACTTCACCTATAAAAATAAATACCATCAGTTACATTCATAAATACTACAAGACATACTTCCCAATTTAAATATTTCTATATATTTGCAATGTTTTTCTATTCAACTTTGAAGGCATCCCTTAATTTGTGATCTCAAAATGAAGCTCGAGGTAAATACCACATATCCAGAGGAAATGTATTTCCATCTATTCCAGAAAGGAGCCTTACTCATTACCAGTATCTATACAGTCAACATTCAGAAGCTTGCTGGGAGTCAATATATTCTTCAATCAAAACATATTTATCATCCCGACATGTGAGGAGAAAGTAAGAGACTGTAAGAGAACATTTTGTATGAAATCCTGTACAATTTACCATCTGGAATATCCTCATGATCGTCATCAATTCCACGTTTAACTACTCTTGGCCTGGTCTGATCATCTTGTGTGGTGCCCCATTCATCTGGTATTGAAGAAGGCTGGAACTGAACTATAACCTGGGATAAAATCAGTGTATCACATTTATACCCAATTTAACATATTGTGATATTATGCAATAACATATATGCTATAGCTTAGATGGATTAAATAAATGGGTACTACAGATTCTTTTGCCAAGAAAAAATGACATAAGATTGTGTAGCATATACTAGACAAAAATTATGTTTATATTTATTTCAATTTCCAAACTAATTTAAACATTCTTAACATCTGAAATAATGATTTGTGACAGCACATTATTCAAAGTTAAACTGTACTGTTGGAAAGAAATATCCAACATGCCTCCTAATATAAGATTATGTTTGACATGCTGCAAATTCATTGGTGATGTCTGTTTTCCTCCCTGAATTCATGGAGACCTAATCTTAACCCTAAGTGGATTTTTCCCCCATCGGGATTTTCCCATGTATTTTACCAGGAAAAGTAGATAACTGAGGTTTCAGAATTCAGCACCCTCCTAAGCATACCAATTCACTACCAATCATTGGAGATGTCCATTTTGATATCTAAACCTAACCCTGAGTAGATTTGGCCCCTCAATGGGACTTTCCCTTGTATTTTCCTGGGAAAAGTAGATAATGCTGGCTCAAAAAGTCAGCATGATGCTAAGCATACCAACAAATTACAAATCCACTGGAGATGTCTATGTTGCAGTTCAAATGAACAGATAACAGATAACCAGAGTTGGAAGGGACCTTATAGATCATCTAGTCCAACCCCCCGCCCAAGCGGAAGACCCTACACCATTTTTCACAAATGGCACTCCAATCTCTTCTTGAAGGTCTCAAGTGATGGTACTCCCACAACTTCTGAGGGAAGCTGTTCCATTAATTGATTGTTCTCACTTTCATGGAAACCTAACTGTAACCCTAAATGCATCTGCCTACCAATGCGGTTTTCCCATTTATTTTACCAGGAAACACAGATAAGACGGGCTGGAAAAGTCAGCTCCCTCCCTAGCACATCAAAGCACTACAAATACGTTAGCAATATCGTTTTGCTATCTGAATTTGTAGAAACTTAATCAGAGCTGAAGAAGCTTCTTGGATGAGAAGCTAAATGTCTTCAAAGAAAAAACAGAAAGTTCAGTTGCCTCTTGAAAAAAAAAAACACCTTTGGGACAACCATGACCTGGATGACTGAGAATCTCCATAGACACAATCCTTAGTCTATTTATCCCACATGGTGATTTTCCCATGTATTTTATCAGGAAATGTAGATAAGACGGCTGCTAAGATAGATCAGCTATTCCTTAAAGTAGGGTGATCAAACAGATATGATTAACTGCTCTTTAAAAAGCAAAATAGTACAATTTTAGGCCCCAAATCATTAAAAATTAGTGGAATTTTAGCAGCATGCTTTCCAACCACTTCAAACTAATTGGGTATTGGATTTTTTTCCCCAATGTTGGTACTTTTCAATGCTTTAAGAATGGAAATTGTAATAGGAGGCATCTGGCAGTCAAACCATTCCAATTCTCTTCCTTAAACCTCCAGAATCTACCCTTAAAACTACCCCAAACCACCAGAAGACATTTCAATCTCCCCCTTTTGCCCAAACAGACTGCTGTATCCAATTATAATCAGCCTCCAAAGTGATAATACTAATACATTACTGATGCCTCCAGAGTATCTAATTAAGCAACATTCTCCTTACCTTAGGATTATGCATAACAAAAGTTTCTCCACCTGGAAATTCTAATCGCCGATGCCACTGATTTGTAGTAACAGCTTTCTTATACTCGGCCTACAACAAACATCAATGATATATCTTGAATATCAAGAAACCACATCAAAGGACTATGTGACAAGAAGATAATTTATTTATAATATTACATTAAACCTTAAATTGTTCCCACAACTTGTTAACATATTACAAAGTTTAATGTAATATGCATTTCCTACCAATTAATTGAATTTCTAAAGGCAGTCACCATTTAAATATAATGAAAACTATGAAGACAAATGTTTTCCCATAGTGTTTCATGTCTCAGATACTCTGATGGCACTTGCCCCTAGATTTGAAGCCACAATGAAAATCAGATACCAACAATATGAAATTTTATTTTCAGCTAATGCAGTATGGAGTGCTCTAGTTTCGAAACATATTGGTTGTATGATGAAGTAATCTAGATTGAATATTAAGAATAACTGAACTTAATCTAGTATAATTTATTTTGGCAACTAAATAAAAATGATTACAGTTAGTTTACCCCACCATTCCTGTGGCAGTTTAATACCAGGTTGTGCTATATATAATCTGTTCAGTATAAAGTAATTTTGCATTTAAAAAACAGAAACCCAATTTTCAATAATTTCTACTAAAATGTTGTTTTAAAATCAATATTACAGAAACATTTTTATAAGGTTAACGCAAAGGGCACAAAATAATAAAATGATTTTTAAAACAGATTCATTTGGAAAAGCTTGCTACCCTATGTGCTTCACACAAAAGAAACTGATGATAATATGGATGTGATAGCACATTATTATTTTATTATTCAGAATAAATTTTATTTTGGAATTTGGAATTTTTTAAAAAGCTACAGCTTACATTGTTGCCTTCCTTTTTAAAAAATACTCACCTCTAGTTTTTCACTGAAATCCTCAGTATAAGGAATAAATCTGCTGTCCTTATCTCCCTTATAAAACCAAGTACATCGTCTTACTTCAGACTGTTGTTCTTCCCAATATACAGCTTTCCTCACACGGTCATACAGATAAACATCATAACGTCCTCCATCAGTACTCAAGACTACACTCTCTGGATCAGGTTGCACTAAAGATTAAGAAGGAAGTTTTTATTAACCTTTCTCCCTTTCTCATCTAACCTGTGAATATTGGAAATGAGAAAGCTTCAAGTTTTACACTCAACAGTGATATTTTGTTTCTGAACTAAAACTTCTATTGAAAAATGAGAGCAAATTGGAAAGTTTTCTAGATTCACTGTTGAATCTCTTTTATTGTTCTGCTTTGCTCATTGGTGATGTCAGAATCAGACAATATGCAAAATCCACAAGCACGATAGAAAAGTTCAGTAGATACTATAGAACAAGAACAAGAAACAGGAGAAATAATCTGAAATCCTCTTTGAGTAATGAAGTATTCAATATCTAATCTAATAATGCTCCTCATTACTCAAACATATGACTTTATGGAACTGTCTGTAGTAAACTTGCTGAAAGGAAGAGGGGAGAACAAGTGAACAAAAATCTCTCTTATAGAACTGGCCGCTTAACCTTGAATAACTTTTATCAAGATCATTAAATGTTTATATAAATCAAATACCATACTATGGCAGGTAAAAATGTATATATTATACCTATATTTAACAAGTTGGTGTTTTCTGATTACTCTTTGAGCTATAACATCTGTGAGGAATGCTCAGTTTTATTGCTATATATTTAAAAATAAAAATCCATTAAAACTTGGAGGGGAGACCTCATCATTTCCAGGACAATTCTCAAAAAATATCAGGAAAAACAAAACAGCACATAATGTTTCTGAAGAAACATTGTTTGTCTCTAAACAAGGATCTCTCAGGTCTCATATTTTCACTGAAAAAAGCTTTTAAATATACGCAAATATCTGACTGTAAAAAAGATTGGCATATTAAATATTATGCTTATCTATTCTCCTCATGTCCAAAAGCACAAATTACACAAAGGACATCCTTAAATCTTACCAGAATTATAAACCTTCTCTAGAGTTGTAGAATCTAGATCACTGAACGGCATCCATAGCTCCTTGTTTTCCACTTCCTTACAGTAAAACCAATGTGGCTGAACTGATTCATATTGGTTTTGTAATAAGACAGGTGGTGCCTTCACAAGTGGTCCTGGTGTCATTGATGTCTGAGGTGATAGGGCTGACTAGAATGAAAAAAAAGGAGGGGGAAAAACTTTCTTTAATGTTTCAAAGTTTTACTTGATGTTTAGATACAATCTTAATTATGTACAATTAATTCCATTCTGAATTACAAGAATACATTATTCTTATAGATTTTAGATTAGCATATTAAGCTAATTACCAAAGCAATATAGGGAGTTGTGTCTTAATTTTGCATATCTGATTGCCAATTATTTTCAATCTTGATCTAGGTGGAAGACATTAGGTTTCACAACTGAATCCTAATCGAAACTCTATTCAATGTAACTTTCAAATGTTATCGAATTAAATACAAAAACTAATTAGTTTCATAATTTTGCAAATATTTTACATTCAGATATGACAAATAAACTAAGCAAGTATTAACTCTTTACTTGATATAATTAAACAGTGCCAAAAATTCCTAAAATGGAAAACATTTCATTTTTGTTTTCCTGCAAAATCTAGGGCCAAGATAGCAAATGCATAGAACTTTGTTTTAAGGGAAATATTTGTCTCAAATCCTTTTGTTCGTGTATGTCTAAATTTTCATTTCTCAGTAAAACCAAATTACAAAACATATTCAGCAAATCATAAATCAGTTATTGAGCTAGTTGAAGATATGAGAGTGAAACAATATTTGTTGAAAGGAACAACGAACTACAATATTGAGTCCTTAACTTTTTTTATAGTAATTGCAATATACTAGATATAATTATAATCTTCCTACCGGTGGCATTGGTCCTGCAGGAGTTGGATATTTCTGCACAGGTGGTACAGAAGGTGAGGGCTGCAGATTCTGGCCAGGTGCTTGTATCTGTTGTAGCTGTGGGGGAGCGATGTAAGGATTGGCTCTACTACTTAAGGTATTGTGACGATAGGGGTTATAACCTTGTTGTGATGGTCCCTGAGGTGGTGTTGAAAAGACTGTTAGGGGAGGACCACTTTGCTGAGGTGTTTGATAAGTTCCAATTCCTTGTACTGAAGTAGACGGAGTATTAAAAAACTGTGATTTGGAAACAGAAGCTGAAAATATATTTGGCCCATCTTGTGATGAAGGCAGAAGAGGGAAAGAAACTGGAGGTTTAGAGAAAACCGATGTTCCAGCTTGGGTTGAGGTTGCCACCCCTAAGGGTGGTTGTCCAATGCTTCCAAAGGGATCACTACTGCTAGGAATCTGAGAGAAATAACTGAATGTAGATGGAGGGTTTACATTTGCTGATGTCTGGCCTAGGAAGCTGTCTTCTTCACCAACATCTGTATTATCATCTGCATTAAAAAATATAGTAAGGATCAACAAAAACATAGAAAGATCTTTGTCATCCAGCCTGGGATCCAGTAACATAGATATGGAACCTACAAAGAGTTTTACTACCAAGGAAATTGAGTGTGCCCTCCTGCAAATTATGTTTAATGCTTTTAACTTTTTTTGATTTTGGCTATAATTCTTTTGTTACTTTATTGCATCAGTTTTGTGTTTTTTAAGTTTTTACACACTGATCAGAGTCAAGTACATGAGATGAGCAATGTATAAATTTACCAAATAAATAAATAAACCTGGGAATTATAGGAGAAATATGAACGGGTGAATTATATTGCTGCAAAACTTCTTTTGTATGACAGATTTTCCTCTCTCCCATCTGATGTCCCTTTGATTTTCACTACCATCAGCTGGTGCCTTATACCTGCCTCCAATCAACATCCTAATAAACTGAAATCTTGCCTGCTATGCTTCTTTCCAAGAAACATACCAACATTATGTTCTTCCACATAACTACAGGTAGTCCCCAACCTATGACCACAATTGAGCCAACTAAGCCCAATATGTATGTTGCTAAGTGAGAAATTTGTTAATTTTTCATTTTACCAGTTTTCTTGCCACACTTGTTAAGTGAATCACTGCAGTTGTTAAATTAGTAACATAGTTGTTAAGTGAATCTGGTTTCTCCATTGACTTTGCCTATCAGAATGTTGTAAAAGGTGATCACCCCAGGATACTAAAACCTTCATAAACGTGAGTCAGTTGCCAAGCATGCAAATGTAAATCATGTGACCATGTGGCTGCTACAATGGTCGTAAGTGTGAAAAGTAGTGATAAGTCACTTTTTTCAGTGCCGTTGTAACTTTGAACCGTCCCTAAGTAAACTGTTGTAAGGACCTGTAGTTATATCCAAGCAACTAAACTAATTGCAAGAAAAAGAAATGCAACAGGTCTCATGAGTCAGGAAATCATACCCACTGGTTGGGCAAGTCTTAGTGGGAACTTTCTCTGCATCGTCAGTAATAAGATTGCAGCACCAAGGCTGTGAAAACACACATTTTTGTGCACTGAAGCCTTCAAGGACATGGAGTGCTACCCAGAAGACCCTAAAGAGGAGGAGGGGGGCAGCAAGCCAAGAAATTAGTAAAGTAACTCAATTTCAAACTCTGATATAAAGAAATGCAGGCCAATGTCAACAATACATCCGTTTCCCGTTATAAATCAATGTCACATCCTTGGAATATCCCAGACCTTCTCAAACCCCTCCATTCATCCTGTCGTCCATCACAGGTCCTGGAGGTTACGAGCCCTCCAATCTGCAAGAGGGAAGAGTTTGCAGGCGTCTTTATCGCAGACTTACGGCGGGGATTTTTATTTATTTTTTTCCCTAAAGCCCCCTAAACGCATTAAAGTTATCAATCAAAACGAAGCGGGCGGGGGTGGAGGGAAAATGGATTCTAATTCCCGTGGGTTTCCCTCCTGCCCCCCCGCCTCACGACCATTACCTGCGGGAAGGAGGCCAGGTCCCGTACCGGCCACAGGAGGGGTTTGGCTGACTGGGATGAAAGGGACGGTGAAATTGAATTCGGTGGCCGAGGAGGAGAAGAGCAAGTTAGTGCCGCCGCTCGTGGAAGAGATGCCACTCGTGGCGGAGGTTTTGGGGGCAGCCATGACGGAGGGACTTCCACGTCTCCCGACTCCCTGGAGCCCTCCCCGACAAGGCCCTGCCCCTTCCGCCCGGCTCTAAGATGGCGGAGGCGCCGGTCTCTTCCCTCTTCTCCCGCCAACCCGAGCCCGCGCTTAGAGGCGAAGTGAAGTGAGGCTTGAAGTCCGCTCCGGCCTGGCTTGCGCCCTTTTCAGCCCAGCTTGGAACGGCCGCTATCTTAAGCGCTCTCCGCCCGGCGCGTAAACCTCCAGAAAAGCGGGTCTTCTGAAGGGAGACCTCTCTTTGGCGTCTCTCTCGCCTGGTCTTTTAAACGCACCGAAGAAGCGAAAAGATGCCGTGTGTGGCGGACTGGCTGAACTGCCCCCTCAGTATCGTGCAAGGCATTTTCGGTGAGACCGGGCTTGGGAGGAGTGCGTGGTGGTGGTGGTGGTGGTAAGGCACGAAAACGTAGGAAGCTTTAAGGCAGGTCAAGGAAGCGGGGAAGCGGGCTGAGCTACCCCCGCGGACAGGCAGAGGGGAAGTCGGCCGAGTCCCCCTCCCCCCCCCCCCCCAAAAAAAAAAAACACGAGAGGAAAGAGAAGACGGCGGCATTGCTGAGAACAGCTCTGGGACCGGGGAAGACCGGGAAGGAAAGAGACGGCGGCACCTCGCTGCTCTTTGCGGAACGGGTTGGAGGGGGAGGACGATAGGAAGTAGGGGACCTATCCGGGGCAAAGTGGGGCTGACCGCCAGCGACAAAGCTAATAACCCCGAGTTTGGCCTGGCAAAGTCGGGACCCCGCTGGGCCGGGCGGAGTGAAAAGCGGCCTCGGAGTTTTGTTGTGAGGCAAACTTGGCTGCGGGAAGGGCAGTTCTTCTGCACGCCGAAAGTTGGAAGCCTCGTGGGAAGAAGCAGAAGAAGGAGAGTGTTCCTGAGCCTCTGCGCTGCGGTGTTTCTTTCGGCTTCATGCGGGGAGAGGGGGGCTGAGAGGGAGAATAACGCTTCTTAAAGGCATCGCAGGGGACTTTTCCTATTAAATGTCAGTCCTGGCGTCCTCCTTTTGAGTGCTTAATTACTAGTTTACCGCTGTACTTTGTAATTAAAAAGAACAGGGTAAAGCATGGTATTTTTAGGCTTCTGCTTGTCAAAACTGAACAGGAATCTTCTGATTTCTGTTTTCGGTGGATATCAGTTGCTCTTGTATCTAGTTGGTGTGTTCTCTTCTGTTCTTGTCTATTTTGTTTTTAGCAAAACGGTTTGCTATGTATCATTTTTGACACAATTATTTGCAATTGAACCCACTCTTGGTTAAATGTGACCCAAAGTTAATCCTAAAATCTCTGGGAACACAACTGAATAAATGTCTAATTGTTTTTGTTAAGCTTTAAAGCAAAATATTAATTGATTGGCAGGCTACCAGGAGACTGTGCTTAGCTCATATAATTGAAAAACCAACATTTGGAAAATACAGCTAACAAAAAGAGCAAAATACCATAACAAAACCAGAACAAGTGAAACAAAACAAAATGCAGACCAAAACAGCAAAACAAAATACAGACTTCAGAATCACTCTGTTTTAGAGGCTAATTGGAACAATAGCACTTCATAGTGCTTTACAGAATCAGCATATCCCCCCTCCCCAAGACAATTTTTGTGCTTATCCTATGTTTAAGAATTTTCTAAAGAACAGAAGGGTGAGAATCATAGGAAACTCATTCCATCCAGAGGACAGGAATTCTCAGAGAAGGTGTTTCTCCAGAATCCTACCAAATGATATTCTTTAATTGAAAACCAGCTGCTTGAAACTGTCTACAACAAAGTCAGATCAATTATTGGACAAAAGTTGATACTTTATGACATGGAAGAGTAAGTGAACATTGAAAGTGAAGATGTTGAATTAGGAAGTTTACTTTCAGCCATCGAAACTTAGTGGGCCGTTCTCAATGTAATCTACCTCACAAGGACAAACTTGGGGAATGTTTAATGTGCCAGCCTAAATACTGAGAAATCTAAATGGGGTCAATGGGAAATAAACTCACATTTCTCTTCAAGGAAAATAACTATTCATATAAGGAATCCATTCCATTCAGGGGTGGGATGCTACTGGTCCTGCCCAGCTCTATAGAACAGGTAGCTCTGAAGAGCAGCAGACACAGAACTGGTTCTGTGTTTGTTGCTGTTTCGCCCGCCCGCCTGCCTGGGCTCTTACTGTCTTTTATTTCCTGCTTTTTCAACCTCAGCTGCTTTGCACGACAGAGCTGAGGTTGAAAAAGCAGGGGGGAAGTGGCTTTTCAAATGCTGCACACCTGTGCGCAGTGCTTTTCAGCTGTCCAGGCAGTACAGCTTAAGGTTTTTTTACACGCATGCACAGCGCACGTCAGGCACGTGTGCACACAAAGCACGCTTGCGCACACAACATAGTCACCGAACCAGTAGTAACACCTGTTGAATCCCACCCCTGCTTCCATTGTAAGAATTGTAATCTTATACCATTTTAAAGGGAATGTAATTAAATTATATAATATAAAACATTTAGATATTGGAAAGGAAAATATTGGAATGAGATTGACAAGGAATTGTTTTCATAATAACTTTTGCAAGTGGCTCTTAGGCACTATCATCTTTCAACTGTGAGTGGTTCTAAAGATAAAATACTAGAAAAAGTTAACTAAGATTGGAAGTAAATGTGTTTTAAGCCAGGTTGCCATGTTATTGTAATATATATGAACATTACTGTTTGCAGGAGAATCTGAGAAAGATACATTTTCCCCTTTGGGTAGTTCTAATAAAGCTACTGATTCTTCCTAAATTAATCCACCATGTACACAATTATCATCCACAAATCTGAATGAACCTGTCAGCTGTGAAACAGGAGAGAAAGCCTTCACATTTAAAATCTTCACTAAAAGCACAAGTTCCATATCAAAAGGCCAGAAGTATCCCAGTATATCAGAAGAGATTGCTCTATCAGAGAGATCCCCAAGAGAGTCATAGTCCTTCCTTCAAATTTGAAGTCTGTATGTAGGATCCTCAAAGACATTCTGGAGGTGCCCCTCAGAGCACTGATACGGGAAATCCCAGGACAAAGTTACCCTAAGTAGCTAGAATCTGGTTGGGTGATCTTCAGACTAGATAATTTCATAAACGTTTTGTGCAAGCTTGATATATACTAGTACAAGAAACCTGATTCCTTAAAAACTCTAGCTCTCAGCCACATCACAGTAATAAAATAACAGAATTGGAAGGGACTTGTGGGGGTGGGGGTGTGTGTCTTATAATCCAACCCCCGGCTCAAAGCAGGAGAACTATGCCATTTCAGACAAGTGGCTTAAAAGCCTCAGTATTGGACCATCTACAACTTCTGAAGGCAAATCATTCTACTAATTAATTGTTCTCATTGTTAGGAAATTTCTCCTTGGTTCTTGGTTGCTTCTGTTCTTGATTAGTTTCCTTTCCTTGTTTCTTGTCTTGCATTCTGGTGCTTTGGAAAGTAGATTGACCCTCTCTTCTTTGTGGGAGCCCCTCAAATACTGGAACACTGCTATTATGTCAAACCTAATCTTTCTTTTCACTAGACTAGCCATACCCATTTCCTGCAATGGTTCTTCGTATGTTTTAGTCTCCAGGCCCTTAATTGTCTTTATTGTTCTTCTCTGCACACTTTCCAGAATCTCAACATCTTTTTATAATGTGGCAGGTTTTATAAAGTAGTACTAATACCACTTTATAAAATAATCTTGATTCTGTCCCTCTGCTTATGCAACCTAGGATGGCATTGGCTTTTTTGGCTGCTGCTGCATGCTTCAGGCTCTTATTAAAATGCTAAAGCTAGGATTGGCAAAGAATAGATACAAAGGCATTCTACGTACACTGATAGCTACCTATTTGAATGTAACAGTACAGAACGTTTACTACTTACATAATGGTTCACCTCAGTGACAATTGAATCAAGACCGTATCCTAACAGTAATTGGCATATGTCTCCCACCACTGAGATGGAAGCTTGAGAAATTGCTGGAACAAACTCCAATATGTTTAACTTTTTTTTCATTTATAAAGTTTTAAATCTCAAATTAGCATATAAAAGAAACAAAGCTTATATTGTAATTATGTCTGAAAGACAAAGTTATTGTAGTGGATCTATGCCATGATTTGTGACATTGTTAATTAATCCTGCACAGAACCTGACTTTTCCATTACTACTAGAGAAGTAGTTATCTGTTAAAAATTAAAGTTAACATTGTGGAGTTTTTTTGTAAATAATATTTTCACATCCATCTCAATCTTCCCACATAAAACTCGTTTCCCCCAGTCCATAAAATATTTTAAACAAACTATAGAAGCAGACACTCTTAAAATTAGCTTCTGAGTTCATTGTTCAAAAATGTCTTCAGTTTGTCAGTATTTTGCTTCATTCTTATTAGTAAGTCAAATTTAAGTATACATTTTTAATTGTAATCTTTAATCCTTCTGGTTCTTTCTAATGTCCATCCTTATAATCCTAGCATGTTCTTTTTTTTCCACAAGAAGGATTGTTATAATTAATTACAAAATCTTTTTCAAATTCATCTGGACTTTTAGTCTGTTTGTAATTTTCCAAAATCAAAGTTTTAATGACTCTTTTGCCTTAAGCTGTATTTCAAATTTCTTTCACTAAGCATTAAAGAACTCACCTGGTGTTTGGTGATTTGAGCAAAATGGCTATTCCCTCATCCCCAGAACTCTAAACCTGCCACAAACCATTGTCATGTAGTTGCCTTGTAAGGAGAAATTGTCTAGAGCACAATCTCCAGTCTTTTCCTCATCTGGAGGATTATGAAAAGCCAGTCTACTCACCAGCTCTTCATTCTGCTGCAGTCATTTGCTTTTAGCCTTCTGCCTTCTAAAAATACAGTATGTCTGTTTTACTGCTTTAAATAAAGGTTCCTCACTGCTAGGGCCCAGGCCCAGGGTTCAGAATCTGAATCTGATTCTAAAGAAGCTGTTTTAGCTGAACCTGTGGAATGTCAGCATTAGGAGTCCCCAAGCTGAGTATCAGATGGGGCTGATCAAAAAATAAGCACTACCTGGGCAATTGGAGCAAT